TTAAGGAGTAAGTACATCTATAAATCTCAGGGAATCTGCAGGCAGATTATTTGTCTTGTCTCATTTCTCCACAGTGGGTCCCATGTGATTACCACAGCCACCTCTGACTTTATCCACCAGCTTACTACCTCTCTGAAGCCAAACCATAGCCAGCCCGTATCATCAAGACTTAGAGCATAACCTACATCTGAGTTCAATAGAAATATCTAACTTGCTGATCTTATAGGACTTTATGAGGATCAAATGAGATATACCCAGGCAATAAACACGTGTTAAGTTAGCTGCCTTCAAATGTAAATGAAGTGATTCATGAATTAATCAGATATACACATAATTTATGGTTATCAAGTCTTGAACATCCTCTATGGCAATTACAATGTAGGGTGAATTGAATCGAGATGTGGTCCTGAGGGGCTGGGTGAGCATCTGTCTCTGCATCCACCACGTGGAATCTCTATCCTAACCCATATTCAGAATGCCACATCAGCATGTAACCCAGCTCCATTGTTTGGACAGTTTCATAGGACAAAGGCCCCAGCATAGCACAAGCCAGCCTAGCAGCCCCTTTGGCTAGCTCCTGAGGGCCCCCCTTCTCTCTTTTTCTCTGGTTATGCTTTGCTGACTGCTGACTCCTGGCAAAGTCCAGAACAATCACCAACCTCTGAGTGCCTCATCCCTCTTGTGTCTATAGGAAGAGCTCCAATTAGCACGTGGGTCAGATGAGGACCCCCACATGTTAAAAATGGCCTAATCTAAGAAATAAGGTGAAAACAGACTGACACATCCTGTTCTTGCCCCCTTCTTCCCTTTTTTTCCTGGGGAGTCATATATAACTCCATGCCAGACAAATCAATGCTCACTATGGTTAGAACCTGTTCTAAGTACTTAACAGTATATGTGTTATCTAAGGTACTGGTTTTCACTAGCATTGCACCATCGGTTTATAACCTACTTATTCTAGTTGACAGCTTCTCCTTAGATGACTTCACCTATTCCACTCTCCCTCAAAATTTATATCCATATATTTACAGAATATTTTCACGTGGGTGTCCTGTAGACACCTCAAATACAGCCTGCCTGAAACAGAATGAGGGATGTCTGGGTGGCTCAGTTGGCTGGGCATCTGCTTTCAGCTCAGGTCATGATCTCGGGGTCCTGGTATGGAGCCCCACATCGGGCTCCCTGCTCATCAGGAAGTCTGCTTTTCCCTCTCCCTCTAGCTCTCCCCACCCCCACTCGTTCTGTCACGAATAAATAAATAAAATCTTTTTTTTCTTTAAAGATTTTGTTTATTTATTTGACACACACACACACAGAGAGAGAGAGAGAGAGAGAGAGAGAGAGAGAGAGAGAGACGGAATAAAAGCAGGGAAGTGGTAGAGGGAGACGCAGGCTTCCCAGAGAGCAGAGAGCCCCATGCTCTGGGATCATGACCTGAGCTGATGGCAGATGCTTAATGACTGAGCCACCCAGTCGCCCCAATAAATAAAATCTTTTTAAAAAACCCATGAAAAAACAGAAAGAACTATCTTCCCCCATTCAAACATGATTTTCCTTTTGTATTCTCCCATTAAATCAGAATCCTATGAATCAGCTTTGACTCCTTCCCCTATCCTCTCACTCCCACCTAACCAGTCACCAAAACTCGACCCATTCTACCTCTTACATGGCTTAACCCACACCATCTCTCACCTGAGGATTCTAGTGGCTTTAGACCCCACTGACCGTTTCTTTTTTTTTTTTTTAATATTTTATTTACTTATTTATTTGACAGAGAGAGAGATCACAAGCAGGCAGAGAGAGAGAAGGGGAAGCAGGTTCCCTGCCAAGCAGAGAGCCTGATGCGGGACTTGATCCCAGGATCCTGAGATCATGACTTGAGCCGAAGGCAGTGGCTTAACCCACTGAGCCACCCAGGCACCCTCTTTTTTTTTTTTTTTTTAAGATTTTATTTATTTGAGAGAGAGAGTGACAGAGAACATGAGAGGGGAGAAGGTCAGAGGGAGAAGCATACTCCCCATGGAGGTGGGAACCCAATGCACTACTCGATTCTGGGACTACCAGGATCATGACCTGAGGCGAAGCAGTTGCTTAACCAACTGAGCAGTTAATGGGTGCCCCCATTTGACCCTGTTTCTGGTCTCATTCCCTCCAATTCATTCTCCATGTTGCTGCCAGTTTTATCTTTATAAAAGTGCCTGTAGGGGTGCCTGGGTGGCTCAGTTGGTTAAGCACCTGACTTTAGCTCAGGTCATGATCTTGTGGAGTCTGTTTTTCCCTCTCCCTTTGCCCTTCCCCCTACTCGTGCGCATGCATGCTCTCTCTCTAATAAAATCTTTAATAAAAGTACTTGTAATTTGTCATCTCCTTGTGTCCCTTCAACTGTTCCTGAACGCCTGAAAGACATTCTTACTGTGAATATGTGACTCTTCATAATTCAGCTTTAACTTTCTCAACTGTTCTCCATATCGCCCCAGCATGAGGCCCTGACAATTTTGTGCTTCTTGTCACTCCTCAAAACTTCATTCTATTTCATTACCCAGTGCTTTAGCAGAAGCTGTTCCCTATACCTTGAATGTCTTTTTTTTTTTTAAGATTTTATTTATTTATTTGACAGAAAGAGACACACAGCGAGAGAGGGAACACAAGCAGGGGGAGAGGCAGGCAGAGGGAGAAGCAGGCCTCCCCCAAGCAGGGAGCCCCATGTGGAGCTTGATCCCAGGACCCCGGGATTATGACCCGAGCTGAAGGCAGACACTTAATGACTGAGCCATCCAGGCACCCCTACCTTAAATCTCTTTTCACCTTTTTTCTGTCAAGTGAAACTCTATCACTTCTTAATGATTATTCATGGAAATGTTAAGAATTAATTACTTGTGGGGCGCCTGGGTGGCTCAGTCGTTAAGCGGCTGCCTTCGGCTCAGGTTGTGATCCCAGGGTCCTGGGATCGAGCCCTGAATTGGGCTCCAGCCTGCTCAGCAGGAAGCTTACTTCTCCCTCTCCTACTCACCCTGTTTGTGTCCCTCTCTTGCTGTGACTCTGTCAAAAAAATAAATAAAATCTTTTTAAAAAAGGAATTAATTATTGTATATTAGCAACGAGGTAGGTAAATCATCTGAATGATGAAGGTGAGTTTATCGGGTGGATGGTCAGTGTGCAAAAGTGAAATAACACAAGAGATGACAGGCAAGAAGCTATTTCCGGAACGGGAATAAAGTAATAGAGGTGTGTCTAAGTGACAGTGTGAGGAATACGCAGTGATTGCTTTAGCTCGCGCATCTAGGATGGAACCTAAGGAGAAAAACTACGGAAACAGAACCCAGGAACTTTTCTCTCATTACTACCAAGATGCAAAGTATTGACAGAGCAGGACTTTTCTGAAGGAAATCTGTCCTCCATGCCTTTGCTCCTAGAATTAAGAGGAATGGAAACATCTCTTCTCACACATTAGGCAGGATGTAAAGGCTGGACCAGGCTGACCCCTGGTGGAGAATGAGCCAGCCACTGCACTCCAAGAAGGTGGGCACAAAACTTTCTCCCTTCATCCTCATTCATTTATTAATTCAAAAACAACAGTACACTTACTCTGTGTTAAAGGTAATACTGAGGCCCTAGGGCACAGAGAACAAAGGATTTCATTCCCATTCCTAAGGATTCTTAAGAACCCATTTTAATCCCTATTCCCAAGAACTTAAGGTGGAGCGCCTGGGTGGCTCAGTAGGTTAAGCATCTGCCTTTGGCAGGGGTCATGATCCCTGAGTTCTGGGATCTGGTTCTGGATCAGGCTCCTTGCTTCTCTCTTTTCCTCTGACTGCCTGTCCCCTGCTTGTGCACTCTCTGTCAAATAAAAACAACAACAAACGAAAACACAACAACCCTAACAGACAAGGGGCACCTACCTGGGTGGCTGAGTGGTTAAGGGTCTGCCTTCCACTCAGGTCATAAAGGCAGGGTTCTGGGACTGAGCCCTACATAGGGCTCCCTGCTCAGCAGGGAGTCGGCTTTTCCCTGCCTCTGCCTACTACTCCAACATGCTCTCTCTACTCTTTATTTCTCTCAAATAAATAAATAAAATCTTAAAACAAAACACCAAATACATGAGCTACCTAGCTGCCTATTTAAATGTTCCCTCTTCCCAGCAATGGGGAGAATGGGGAGTCCAGTTAGAAGGCCAATGCAGTAATCCAGGGGAGAAATAATGTGATTGGGGTTCAAGGACAATCAGATATGTGAGATGAGGGAGACAAAGAAGTCAAGGACTTCCCGGTTTCTAGCCTGGGCAGCTGGTTGGTTATGGGTTGCACTTCACAGAAGTCAGGGAACCTAGGTAGAGGAGGAAGCTTGTTTAGGAAGACAAAGTAAGTTTTAGAACAAAGTAAGTTTTAGACATGTTAAATTGAGGTGACTAGCTGACTGGGGGCAGGGGGAGTGGGGGTCAGGAACATCCAGGTAGAAATATCTAATAGGTTGTTGAATATACAAATCTGCCAATGAGGAACGAAATATACAGTAGAGATTGAGTCCTTCTCAAACACCCCTGAAAATACAAAACCAACATTTACAGTGTTTACATATTATTATTTATTAAAACAACCTGCCACTTAACCTAGGGATCGCTTTTTGTCGGGTTGTATTCTAGGTTATTCTCTCATTTAATTTTTACCGAGGTCTAAAGGGTTATTATTTTTGTTTTACAAATGAAAACACTAAGGTTCGGAGAAGTTAAGTGATTTGCCCAAAGTCACACAGTGGAGCTGTGTTCGAATCCGATTATTGCTTAATTCTAAAATCTATACTTTTGATCTCTTGCTACTCCATCTTTTTAAAGGTCCTACTTGGTAAAAACGTGAGCAGCACGCCCCTCAGAAAAAAACTAAACAAACTGTACCTACCAGGACCTGACCTAGAGCGGAATTGACTAAAATGGCCGCTCCCCTACCGGGCGCTGGCTCTCTTACGTCATCATACTGCGCTGCGGCCATTCGCGCACCACGTCGGAAAGGAGCTGGCGGGCAGATGGCGAGGTCCCAGGCCCGGGGGTGTGTCCTATTCGTCCCTGGCGCAAGATGGCGCTGCCTTTTGCACGTTCGTTTTGCTCATGCCGCTGGGGAGCCAAACGATTGGGGGTTGCCGCCGCCGAAGCCCGCAGAGGTAAGATTATTTCCTTTTACTCTCTTTTATCTCCAAAATGGTTTCCGTTATTTCCGGGAGCTCCTTTGGTTCATTTCCCCTCCCCATCTGCGTTGGTCTTGAGAGTCCAAACATGGGGCACAATCTTTTTTTTTTTTTTTTTTTAAATCCCGAGGGGTCCGAAGGTCCATATTAAAGTGCCCCACTTTTGCCCGCGTGACATTCTGACTCTTTCCCATGTACTCGTGAACTCATGACTGCCTTTCAGATCGTAATGTGTGTGTATCTGTAAATGTGGGGTTCTAACCCCTGTCATCAGTCTCTCTGCTCTGTTCACAGACTTCAGCTTCAAACTGGACGAAAAAACCGCCCACAGCAGTCTAGCGCTCTTCAGAGGTGATACAGGTGTCAAATATGGCATAGTGGGATTGGAGCCCACCAAGTTGGCCCTGAATGTGCAGCGCTTCTGGGAGTGGGCTGTGGTGCTGGCAGACACAGCGGTCACCAGTGGCAGGCACTACTGGGAGGTGACAGTGAGGCGCTCCCACCAGTTCCGGATAGGAGTGGCAGATGTGGACATGTCTCGGGATAGTTGCATCGGTGTTGACGATCGTTCCTGGGTGTTCACCTATGCCCAGCGCAAGTGGCACACAATGTTGGCCAACGAAAAAGCCCCTGTTGAAGGCATCGGGCAGCCAGAGAAGGTGGGGCTGCTGCTGGAGTATGAGGCCCAGAAGCTGAGCCTGGTGGATGTGAGCAGGGTTGCTGTGGTCCACACTCTTCAGACAGATTTCCGAGGTCCAGTGGTACCTGCCTTTGCCCTTTGGGATGGAGAGCTGCTGACCCACTCAGGGCTTGAGGTGCCTGAAGGCCTCTAGTATGTCCGTTGCTGGAGTCCCTAATCATGCTCTCAATCATTCTCTGAAAGTGTCTGAAACCTTTTAATTTTGCCACCAAACAGTGTCTCATTTTGGAAACACAGTGTTGGGTTCTCTGTGCAATATCTTAGTCTTCTTCCTCTCCCATACCCTGTGAAAGCTGGGCATATAGCCACTCTTCCCCATCCCCAAATTACTGCTGATTTCCCAAGCTATCATGTGTGTACTTTGCCTGACTGGCTTCCTTCAGCTCCTCTGCCTCCTTGTACCCAGGGCTTTCTCAGACTGCATTCAGTCCTGGGGTGTTAGCTTTGAACTTTGAATTTATTCATCACTGTGATACCTCTGCTTCCCTTTGCCCCATATAATCCCCCCCCGCCCCCCCCCCCCCCCCCCCCCCCCCCCCCCCCCCGCTTTGGGGCACTACAGGATCTCTCCAGAGTAAATCCTTTCTACCTCTGGATGGAGGAGTGGTGCAGTCAGTGACTTGGCCCTTTCTCTCTATAGTACATAGAGTCTGGGCTCTGGCTCCCTCAGGAAGTGCTTTACTGTGTCTGAATGAAACAGGGCCCTCCTTCCCCAGTACCTCAGTGCCAGACTCTCAGCCCCACACAGCTGCAGCTGTCACCACCCAGAGTCCGTCTGCCTTAATCTGCACACCTCTGACATTTGGTCAATCTGTTAGAATCACTGGGCCAGTTACAACAGTGACCAAAGGAGATAAGATACTTTTGCCACAGTTGGAACTTCCAGAGGGAGGAGGGAGGCCTGAGGTCTTGCACAACCCATTTTGGGGCCTGCTTAGTCCCAAACCCTCAAGTATTGCCACCTTTCCCTCCCCCAACCCCCCACCCACCCTGACCTCTGGCAGGAGAATACAGTTAACCTACAGTAATATTTAGGGTTGAGGAAAACGTGGTGGGGTGAGTATATATGTGAAATAGGTATTCTCAGGCTCTGACCTTGCAGTTCCCTCATATTCTACTTTCTGATGGTGATGCGGCTGGATACCCCTAAGGGAGAGGGGTAAGAACTGGGTTTAACAACAATAATAATTTGTGTAATTAAAGTTTATTTGAGCACAAAATACTTTCTCTGTCTATAAAATTAGCAGTAGCAGCAGTACTTTCGAGCCAAGGAGGGCAGACCTGTTCAGACTGTTAAAGCCTGGTACATGGCTGTCCCACTTCCTCTGTGGACATATACCTGTGCATGGTGGCTAGGGCCCCTTTTCCAGAGTATCTCTGTCTCTCTCATGATGGTTTCTTTAGGGGAGGGAGAGGGGACCTGGGATGATTCTGAGTGGGCCAAACCATTAGGCTGTACCTCAGAGAAGCTCATCGTCTCCATGGATTGCTGTACTGCATGTGTCCACCAAGGCACTTCTCTAGACTCTGTCTGTCAAGGGAATTGGGTATTTTCACTCTCACAGAAAGCAGTGGCCTAAGTCTTGGTCCCCACTGAAGCAGTGTGGCTGTCCATAGCATGTTTGGTGGTTATGGATTGAGTGTGTGGCCAGCTCGTGCTTTTCCTCGAGCAGGGACCATGTGCATGTCCCAGGCTCACACCATGCTCTCTAAGTTCTCTTTGGACAGGGCCTCCGCCGCTGCCTCAGCCTGAGTCTCCGATGGTGTGTAGGAGTCCTGGTAATCCTGAAGCAGCTTCACCACCTCCAGGTGGTTGAACTGCACAGCATCATCCAGGGGAATGTTGCCCCACCTAAAAGGAACCGAGATCGGGATCAGGGAAAGAAGACAGCGACAGTGCTCTGGTCACACTACGTGACTGTGGTGGCTGGAGGGCAGAGGGAGAGAAGCTATGCCCAGACTCCAACCCCCCGCCCCCGGCCACCTCCAATTTTAGCTTACTCTTACCTGTCCTTGACAAAAGGATTCACTTTGCAAGCTTCAATCAGGAACTTAACAACTTCAATGTGTCCTAGGAATATGAGAAGGAAAATGAGATGGTATAGATCCTCAACCTTTTGGTGTTAGCCATATGGACTTTGGCAGCTGAAGTCTGAACCAAGAGGGGTGGGGGAAAGGCCTCTTCCCATTTTGCTCCCTGTGGCAGCCAATAATAGTTGGCCTGAAGACTGCAGGGCATCTCAACAAAACTAGTTGCTGCGCCTGTAACCTTATGGGCATATACAATAGGGAGTACTCTTCGTAGAAAAGAAATGGTCTTGGGGTGCTTGGCAGGCTCAGTCGGTAGAGCATATGACTCTTAATCTCAGGATTGTGTGTTTGAGCCCCACACTGGGAGTAGAGTTTACTTTAAAAAAAAAGGGGGGGCGGGGTATAAAATATTTTTAAAAAGAAAAAAAAAAAGGATCTTAAGCTCTGGTTCCCCTTTTATTTAACCTTCAGATACCTTCAGCTGCAGCAACATGCAGGGCTGTGCGGGAGTCATAGTCTTTCTGTTCCATGTCCATGGCTGACAAGGCAAACCTGAGGGTTGGGGAAAGCAGCTGGAGTTACCCAGATTAGTCTAGAATCACTAGTGTCTTTTCTGACGTGGGGTTCCGACTAGATAGGTTCCAGAAAAAATAAAACAGGCTCGCTAAGATCTGTAGACCCTGCATAATCATGTTCCATACCCAGATGAGACTGTTACTCCCAAATCAGACAGGGGTGTGATGCTTCCAGAAACATCACTGCCTACCTGTGGTAGGTGCCCAGCACATGTTTGTTGATGTTGGTGATCTACTTGAGGGTGCTTACTTCCCTCCTAGGACTCTGCTCTTAGCACCCAGATTAATCATAACATGGCTGCCATTATTTAAATTCATATCATATGGCAGTCACTGTACTTAAAACAATCTCATTTAAATGCAGTCTGTATCCATTCTATCTGGCTCTAAAGCTGAAGCCTTTAACTATTTTGCTGTGTTGACTCTTAATGAGATCTCTGATCAGGAGTATTTTACTCTGTTTATTTGGTACCTTCGAAGGGCTGAGACATCTCCACTATAGGCAGCAAATAACAGGTTCACCACAGTCTTGTTCTGGAAAACAAATACCCACCTGAGATTAACTGTGACTTTGGGCTCACCCATGCTCAGCTCTGTCCTGTGACCCTTCTCCAAAGATGCTTAGCCAAGGGTATTGCTAAACCATTAATGGAATGTTCTATTCTGAAATAGTCTTACAAGCCACCTGGGGTTTTCCTTACCCGAACTTCTCCCCCTTCACGCCGTGGGTCTAACTTTCGAGCACAGTGCCTCAGGTTGTCATAGTTGTGGAAATTGAACAGAGACACCAGCTTCTAGAATTGTAAGCCAAAGAGATCGATTATTTACTCCCTGCACTCACTAGGAGCTCAAAATTGTTTCATTTACTCATTCAAAATCATTAAGATCTTCAGGCAAAATAACTCACCTGGCAGAAGCTGATGCCCCTATGGCTGTTCCCTAGCTTGTCCAATGGAGGTGATAGACACATCATTCCCATGACATTGGGCACCACTAGAAGGATGGCTCCTGATACAGCTGACTTGGCCGGCAGGCCCACCTTGGGGATAAAATTGAGACTGAGGATAAGCTAGTGGTGCCCTCAAGTCTGGATTAATAAGTTCGTCTATTCCAAATGACTGCACAGGCAAGGTCATCTCCACCTCAACCTCTTGGCTTGTTAATTAGCTTCTTTCCTTATTCCTCTCCTGTCCTGTCTCCTTTAAACTCATGGCTTCAGTAAGGAAATACTTGTTGAGTGTCTATGCTGTGCCTGATGCTGCCCTAGAACTAGGATGGTCTCTTGACTTCATGCTGGTGGTAGGAGATGGACGATCAAGAGACAAAAAGAATCACAGCTTATGAGATAACACAGGAGGAAAGAAGCAGAGTGCTGCAATGGAGAATGCAGTGGGAGGGGGGCCTACTGGAGACAGGATGGTCAGCAAAGCCTCTCTGAGGAAGGGACCTTTACACCGAGACCTAGAGTAGTGCCAGGTACATGGAGGGTGGCAGAAGTGGGGTTCAGAAGCCGCAACATCATGTATTAATGTGTTTGAGGGACTTGATGTGTTTGACAGACTCGCCTAAGGACTCTCAGCCCAACTGCCAGACTAGGAGTTACGAAGGAGAGGCAGGAACAAGTTTCCAGCCTCCACCTTCGGAGACTCCGTGGTCTCACTTCTTGGCTCCGGACTGGTAGCAAACAATGGCAGGGCCGGAAGCACTCACATGGAAGGCAAACTGGCCTGAGAAGTCGTACATGCCGCAGGAGTGCATGAGGCTGAGGGTGTTGCGCACTGCTTCAGCACTCAGGACGCTCTCTCCTGTGATGGGGCAGATCCCGCCATTGGCCAGGGTAGCTGCCATGACACTGCCTGACTCACAGGTCACTTCCACTGAGCATAGCTGTAGAAACAAGGCAGAAGGGTGGGTGCAATGTGGACCATGAACACCATGTTCTTGGGCACAGAGCCATGTTCTTGGCCTCCTGATCTTTCAGAAAGTTCCCCTGGTGTTTCTGAAGGACACCAGAACCACTGGAGAGGACGCATCCCTCATGTGGGTCAGAGCAAGGATGGTGGACTGTCCTATTCCTTTGGCCCTGCACGGAACAACAGTGTGTGCTCACCTGGAAATAGAGGTCGAGGGCTGCCATCATGTCCACCCCCTTAGGAAAGCACTGTAAGCAAGAAGAAGGGAGAACATTTCCTTTCAGGCCATCAGCAAACCCTGTCACACTGCCAGGATCTCAACCGAAGTCCCCAACCCCATGTGCCCTTCCACCAGCTGCAGAATTCTCAGGGACTTTCTCTACCAGCCTCTCCCAGTTACCTTCTTTTCCTTTAGATAATAGCCGATGGCATAATTCCGATCGCCTGTTTCCTTCTCTGACTGGAATCTGAAGCAAACACCCAATTTAGAGTTGATGGTTGAGGGGTGGGTTTTAGGAGAAGGGGAAAAAATACCTTCCCTGAGAGAGACAGAACTAGATCACACATGTCAAACTAAATCAGCCCCCAAATAAATCCTCACGGTAATCCTGGAGAAAACTACTGACCCTGAGCAAGCAGTAGACATAGCTTTACTGTTAAGTGTGAAAAAGAAACTCCCAACCCCCAAATTGTCTAGTCATCTAGTTTGGAGAAACTGATGAGGTTTCTGGCTTGGAGAGGCTTGGCAAGAAGGGCTTAGGAATAAATCCTCACACTGCCTCTCTAAATACTAAATAGAAATGGAATAAATTCTTTTACAAAGTAAACAAATATCAATGAATTATCTCAGAGGAAGCTGGGTAGCCAAAATTCCCCTGGATTTCCTCCTCTTAAGATTCTTTCATCCCCCTTCTCTATGGCAACTGCACATATCCCACAATGTATTCAGCCAATCCCGCAAAAGGGGGCCTTACGTGGCATTGCTGAAACCCATGTATTCGTTCCCAGCCATTTTGTTCAGATACTGTAACACCTGAAAGAGGAAAGGGGGCATGAAAGGCATCACATGGGTGAGGACCCCTACTGAACACATACTAGCCTGATGAAGCCTTCTGAATTTCTAAGTCATTATCCCAGCAGAGACTCAGGAGGCTTTCCCCTCTGAGGCCATAGATTCCCACGCCTCTGGAAATAAGGCTTCTAGTATGGGCTGGTGCACTATCAGAGTGGAGTTAGAGCTGAGCACTGGGGCAGGTGGAGGGGAAAACATGCTATGGAGAAAAGCAGCCAGGAGCTGAGTAGCAAGGGAACTTACAAAATCAAACTTCTCTGCTTTGTTACAGTCCATCTGCAGAGAGAGAGAGAGAGATCGATTAGCATTCCAAGCCTAGAATGATGACAGGGGAGTGTCAGGAGGACTTAGTGGAGTTTAATGTCTTTTTTTTTTTTTAATGATTTTGTTTATTTATTTGACAGAGATCACAAATAGGCAGAGCAGCAGGCAGAGAGAGAGAGGGGGAAGCAGGCTCCCCGCTGAGCAGAGAGCCCGATGCGGGGCTTGATCCCAGGACCCTGGGATCATGACCTGAGCCGAAGGCAGAGGCCTTAACCCATTGAGCCACCCAGGTGCCCCAATGGAGTTTAATGTCTTACACTAATTTTGCCACTGGGAATATTTTACATTTTACAATGATTTTTTTAAAATGACATATATATATATTTTTGGGGGGGGTACGGCTGCATATCTAGTGATCTTAAAAACAAAACCATTTAGATTTTATTATCAAGTAATGAGTACAGATAACTTCAGCCCATCCAGGAGTCTTACCCATCTGAGTCTCACTTCCAATTCCATTCTCAATCCCAGGCCTCATCCCTGCCTCTCACTTCCATTGTCCTGAGTCCGGTCCTGTCCCCAAGTCCCACTCCAATTCTGATCCCCATCCCCATCCCTTACAGCCCAGGCTGGAGCCATACTCTATCATATCCCTGACTCCCATGGCTATCTCCAACAGGATTAACAGGAATGGGATGAGAGGTGTGTTGCACAGAATATTGTTATATAGATTATATTGATAACCAAAATAAAGCTGAAGATCTTAGCTGAGAGTCAGGTCCAATAAGGCCTACTTCAATGGGAATAGGATGAGGCAGGTGCAGGTTAGAGGGCTGCAGGCAGAGGTAACCCAGGGCAAGGGAGAGCTTGAGCCTGGTCTCCCACCCCACCCCCCACCACACCCCGTTGCTTCCTACACATGTCAACTATAGTGTCAACACCATAGGGACAGTGACACCTGAGTCCCTGGGGGGAGGGTTCCTAACACCACCTTCCTCAGGAGGGGCTGTGATTGGCTCTGGAATGTTGCTGCCCACGCTGTTCTCAGGTTCTTGCTCAAGCCCTGGGAGACCTACAGCTGACAGGCCAGCCTGATGCCCTTGCTCAAGGCCAACTCACAGTTTCAAGTGACGTGAATAGCTGCCCTGGCCTGGCCATTCACCCTTCTTTCTGTGTCCCTCACCCAGAAGTGGCCAATCAGTGCCCAGTAGTGCTGTCCTCCCCCTGTATCTGGCATGTGGCCCTTGGTCCTAGGTAGGGGTCAAGACCTGCTCACTTCTCTAAGGGCCAGGAAGCTCTGGGCTCCAGACTCATGGGTGGGGGCAGAGGTATAGTTCCTTTTACTAACATCTTTAATATATGTGGTCGTTGCTGTGCCCTCACTGCCTCCTGGAGACCCTCAAAGGAATCAAAGACCCAGTAATCCCCCTGAAGAGCTGGGCAGATATGAGGAATATAGAAACAAGGGGATTTAGAGAATAGTACCTTCCAGAAGGCTAGGATGGCACTGACCTTGATCAGGGAACTCACGACAATGGCACCAGCATTGACCATGGGGTTATGGGGGATTCCTGGGGAAATACAAACCACCCAGTCTTATTAGCCACTGTGCAAAGCCTCCTTTACAGCCTGCCCACTCTGCAGGCAGACAAATCTTTCTTTGCTGGGGAGGATAAAATGACAGAACTGATCAGGAAGGTCAGGGAAACAAACAGGGCTGCAGGGGTAGGTGGGAATAAGAAGGGGGACACCTGAGTCTGATCTGAGCTCTGGTGGCACTCACCTTCCTCATTGAGAGAGAGCTTATTGTAGCGTAGGCCACTGGGCTCCTTGCCCACAAACTTGTGCACGTAGTCAGTGCCAAGGGTGCTGATGGAGATGGCATAGGTGAGGGGCTTCACACAGGACTGCAGGCAGAAGGGAATCTTTGTGTGGCCCACGGAGTGCCTGCAGCAGACAGGTGCCGCAAAAAGAGTCAGCCTATGTTCTGCACCTGTGCCCTGCCTTCCCATCCTCTCACCCGGCTTCTCACCGCTGACCATCCACAGTGCACAGGGAGACGCCCCACAGGTCCGGGTTGGACTTGGCCAGCTGGGGGATATAGGCTGCCACCTGGGCGTGAGTGGGGAGAGAAAACAGAACGGGGATATGGATATAGAGAGGGGAACAGAGCTGAGGTTCTGGGTCAGGAAACTCTTTTAGATAAAAGTGAGAATTCTGTCTTCTGCAGGGCAACAGGGTTCCCTCCTGCCTGTTGTTCCCAGGGACACCCAAGTCTTAAGTCCAAGAATGCCTTATCTTTCTGTAGCCTTATCCCGATAGAGATGGCAGCAAAGCCTACAGAAGGTAAAAAGTGGAGAATTCTGGGGTCAGCTTCCCTTTTTGGGTCTTGGGCTTAATTACCCTACAGGTCTCCTTCAAAGGTCTATTGAATCCTTCATGCCAATTGTCCCCTTTAGAACTTTGGCTTCCCTCCTCTGCTCTAGAAATCACATGTATAGAAATACATAAAACCCTTGTCCCCATTTTTAGAGATTCCACTTCTCATCTCTCAATCATGGATTCCCAACCCCCGGAAATTTCCAAGAAGCAAAGTATATCTGGCCCAGAGCCCTTGTCCCGCCCTTAGTCCCCTGGCCCTCACTTTGCCTCCAGTGAGCTCTTTGGCATCTTCAAAGATGCGATCCACATGGCTCGTGAACTCCTCAAAATCAGGAATGACAAACTTCCTTCGGAATGCCTGGGTCAGGAGCACAATGTTGCTGCTCACACACCTGGATCCCAGACACGATGGGGTTAGGGGGCTGGAGAGATGCAGCTGCGACTCACTCCGGAGCCATGGAAGTCAGGAATAAGGAAAGTGTGAGTGGTGATTAGGTTTGGGACCAACAGTTGTATGACCTTTGGCATGTTACTTTATCTTTCTGGGTCTCAAGTTTCTTTTGCCCCTAAAATGAGGGGTGGCAATGATTTGGAAGGATAGCCCAAGACACAGTGTCTTAGGGTATGAGAAAAAAATAAGTACCCAAATGATATGTACAGTGGGTCACCTTAATATGTTAAAATTCCTAAATCATATAAGTGTATTTACATATATTCCTATATGTACATAAATGCATAGGACATTGTCTAGAAGATACCCACTAATCTGTCAACAATGTTTCCTTCCGGGAAAAGGGACTGGGGTTGGGGAGACAGGGAAGGGAGAACATGTATTTCTATGTTGTTTGCACTTTTATAATGAGTACGTGAACATTCATATGTTACTTGTATAATAAATAATACATTGAGGAGTTGGACTTGATCCAGTCCCCAGGAGCCCTCCCTGCTGTCATAGTCTATGTCCACAGAACAGTTCTGAGAATGGTGCCCTTAACTGTGGGGCCCTCACTTTTGGAAGAGATCTCGGTCCAAGAGGCCACCACTGCTGGACTCTCGAACCATGCGACGCATCTGGCTCATGCAGTCCCGGAGCCGGGGATCTGATGTCTGCAGTCCGGTGGCCTTCAGTGCCTTTAGGGGAAAGAAGAAGCCTGGTAAGGTCAACTACAAGGACAGTAATGCAATCCTAACCTTCTTTCCCAATGGATAACAATTAGCTCAACCCCAACTACTATGACACATGGACCAAATGGGTTTGCAGACTAAGAAAGGAGGAATGGTGCAGGGTTGAAGGCTGATAAGAGTTTCCTGCCCTTTTTCATCAAGGCAGCTGGTTTCTGAACCCCTTGGGTCAAAGTCTCAAACCAAGAATATGGATTGAGTCAGAGGGTTTAATCTTTCCAGCCTGGAGCATAGATGGGATTGCCTTATGAGCCTTGATATCTACTGCCATCTCCTACTTTTCACCTTCATGAGGCAACATGTTAGCTACCCTACACTTGTCCTGTCCTCCTTTTCCTGCTTTGCAGAGATCCTGAGGGCTCAGCATTCTGAGAAGATAAGAGAGGAACTTACGGTAGTGAACTTGTGGATAGGGATTCGTTCCTGTCCTTCAGCAATAGTGTAGAAGAGCAGATCACCCAGGCGGGATAGCATGCCACTCTCTGATGAGTCACTGTTTGGGGGCAGAGATAGGAAAGGAGGATAGGAACATGAGAACTGCTCCCTGCTTCTCCTCCTAGAACATGGCCTTATAAATAGATAGGTGTCCCTGGGACACCAAAGTGGTTCAGTCGGTTAAGTGTCTGCCTTCCTTCAGCTCAGGTAACGATCCTAGGGTCCTGGGATTGGGGGGTCCCTGCTCAGTGGGGAGCCTGCTTCTCCCTCTGCCCCTCCCCCTTGTGCTCACTCTCTCACTTGCTCTGTCTGAAATAAATAAAATCTTTAAAATAAATACATAAACAAACAAACAAATAAATAGGTAAGTGTCCTCACTCTACCTCACTCAACCCTCCTGCCTGAATCATTTGATCTCTCCCTATACTTCCAGCTTTTACATCTTTCCTGGAAGGTCTTAAATCTTACTCTCTAGCTTTCTTTTGTTTCTAACTTTCAGACCTTTATTTCTAGCTGCCTTCTAGACACTTCCATTTCTAGATGTCCCATAGGCACTGCCAACTCAAAATGTCCAAACTTGATGTTATCTCACCTCCCTCCCTCTGCTCCTCTTCCTGTGCTCCCCATTTAGGTTAATAGTGGTATCACACACCCTGGTGCCAAGCTGGAAACTTGAAATCATTTGGAGAATTCCCATACTTTACATCCATGTTCGGTCAGTAACCCCACATTATGGTAACCACCATAATGTCTCTCAAATCCACCCTCTTTTCTTCTCCTATGCCAGCATGGTATAGTAGAAAGAACCGAATTTGCCCCTTAGAAGCTGTGTGACCTTAATAGGGTTAGTAAGTCAGATTATTTAATCTTGCTGAACCTCCTTCCTCATCTGTAAAATAAGGGTAACAATGCCTACTTCACATGGGTGAAGTAGGCTTAATTAACATAACATTTTGCGAAAAAGTCTTTCACACAGTAAATGCTCAGTAAACCATGTTTTTTTATTAGCAGTCCATATTGTCTGTTCCCTAACTGTTACTACACTCCCTTGTCTTCCAACCCTTCTTCCACCATGTGCCAGTTCTTTCTAAAACTCAAATATCGGGGTGCCTGGGTGGCTCAGTGGGTTAAAGCCTCTGCCTTCGGCTTGGGTTGTGATCCCAGGGTCCTGCGATTGAGCCCCTCATCAGGCTCTCTGCTCAGCAGGGAGCCTGCTTCCCTTCCTCTCTCTCTGCCTGCCTCTTTGCCTACTTGTGATCTCTGTCATATAAATAAATAAAATCTTAAAAAAAAACCCTCAAATATCATTTCTCTATTCAAAAACCTATGATAGTTCCCCAGTGTCTAACAAATAAGTTCTTATTTCTTGGTTTGGCACTCAAGGCTCCTTAAAACCTGCCAACAGGGGCACCTGGGTGGCTCATTTGGGTAAGCATTGGACTCGGTTTTGGCTCAGGTCGTGATCCCATGAGTTATGAGCCCTGAGTTGGGCTCCGTGCTTGGTGGGGAGTTTTCCCAAAGAGTCTCTCCCTCTGCCTCTCTCCCACACGCACACACTCTCTCTCAAATAAATAACTCTTAAACAAAACAAAACAAAACAAAAAACCAGGCCTGCCAACCTTCCTTTCCTATTCTCCACCATGCCCTGACACTCCAGTTATGCCAGATAATAGGTGGGTGTCCAAATGGTCCAGGCATTGTCAGCGTTCCTGGCCTTTGCTTATGCTGCAACTTCTGTATGAAATGACCTTTTTCTCCTTCACTTGGGACAGTCCTGCTCATCCTTCAAGGTCCAGACCAAATATACTAACTCTGTAAAGGCTTCCTCAAACCTCCCAATATTGTTTATGCTGCTGGTATGACACAACCCACCATCTTATTGACAGAAGGATCTCCCTTGCTCCACTGTTAGGTCTTTGTGATTTTTTTTTTAAGAGTCTACATTCATTATTTTTCTAAATTAGTGATTTTTTTTAAGAGTCTACATTCATTATTTTTCTAAATTAGAAGTGCATTGCAAAACCTAAACAGATATGATATTTTGGATTATAGATTAAATTCAGAAAAGATGTAAAAATTTCCTTTTTTTTTAAGGTTTTATTTTTAAGTACCCTCTGCACTCAATGTGGGGCTCAAACTCGTGATATGGAGATCAAGAGTTGCATGCTCCACTGACTGAGCCAGCCAGGTGCCCCAAGATGTAAAAATTTCTTTTTCTTTTTTTTAAGATATAAAGATTTCTAATTCCAATTCTCCCAATTTTTTTAAGGCTTTATTTCCCACACCCCCACCCATTTTGCCCATTCTCCCTCCCTTCCCTCTTCATACATCTTTCTTTCTCTCTCTCTCTCTATATATATCTATCTATATGTAGATATATATCTATATAGATATAAGTATATATCTATATAGATCTAAATATATATCTATATCGATCTATATAGACATCCATCCCTCTATAAATTTTTGTCTTCCTAACATTGAGCAAAGTCCCTAACACATAGTGGGTCTTCAATAGAGAATTACCAAGTTACATTTCTAGGAAGCTTCCTGTTTCCCCAAATCTCTCTTTTGCTGGCTTATAGTGCTTAAAATTCCAGGTACTGAAGACTTCTTGGTTTTCATGAATTCCGCTATTAATATGCCAACAGATTTAGAGGAAATATTTTTTCAGATCATTCCAAACATGACAGGTATTTGAAATTAAGACCCTTGAAAACTCTTTGACCTGACAATTTGGCTTCCAGGTATTTATCCTGTAAGTGTACTTACACACCTGCAAAGTAACATATTCACATTTATTGTATTGTTAGTAATAGTTAAGACTGGAAATGACCTAAATGTGCATCAACAGGGAACTGGCTAGGTAAATTATGGTATATTCATGTAATGAAATATTATGCAGTATAAAAAAATGAAATGAGAGAGTTCCTTAAGTACTGATATGGAATGATATCTAAGATGTCATATTGCTGCACATCAGGCTCCCTGCTCAGCAGGGAGCCTGCTTCTCCCTCTCCCACTCCTCCTGGTTGTGTTCTCTCTCTTGCTGTCTCTGTCAAATAAATAAAATCTTTAAAAAAAATAAAATGTCATTTTAACTCAAATAAGCAAGCTGTAGAACGATGTTCATACTATGGTACCATTTATGTTAAAAGGAAAAAGATATACTTCCCTCTTCAGGTACAAAATATTTCTAGAAGGATATATAAGAAACCTATTTAAAAAAAGAAAGAAAGAAAGAAACTTGTAAGTCTGATTTACCTTCCTCTAGGGTGACGAAGCAGGTGCTGGGCAAAAGGAGTAGGAGGGATATTATCCACTATATATCTTTTTGCATATTTTGAATTTTGAACCATATGAATATGTATACAGTATTTATTGAATATGGTATATATGAATATGGGCATACTATCTATTAAAACAATGCATTAAAAAATAACAAGTCTCTCAAGAAACTTGGCATAGACGATGCATGTACATATTTAGGGCCAGGAGAATACCAGGAGAGGGGAATTTCTTTTTCTGAGGAAATCCAGTTGTCACATGGGACCAGTGACTTTAGGGAGGACAGGATCCATGCAGTGATAGAAGAAGGATGAAAAAGCTATCTGAGAATAACTCAAGGCTATTATGTAGAACACTTTAGGGCAGGCCTCTCTGTGCCTGGAAGCTGAAGGAAAATGGGAAATTATGCCATACCACTAAGGTATCACAAGCCTTAAGTAAACTGCATACCCTTTGGTTCAAATATGAATTGATCTACAATATAATGTTGGGGGGGAACAAGGTGCAGGACAATGTGTACAGCATGATGAACAGAAAATAATATCAACATGTATTTGCTGATACATGCATAAAATATCTCTAAAAGGTTATACAAGATACTGATGACGGTTGTCTCTGGGAAGCAAAATCTCCTAGGAATTTACTCTAAGAAATAACTGAGTAGGTGCACAAGGATTTGCAGTAACCAGACTGAAAATTGTTTAAATAAATTATGATGCCTCATACAATATAATCTCAAAATGGTTAAATAGCCACCATTAAAATGATGATATCACACATACATATTCAATATTAAAAATTGCTTGTAGGGGCGCCTGGGTGGCTCAGTCATTAAGCATCTGCCCTTGGCTTATATCATGGGATCGAGCCCCACATCAGGCTCCCTGCTCAGCAAGGAGCCCACTTCTCCCTCTCCAGCTCCCCTGTGCTTGTGTTCCCTCTCTCTCTCTCTCCATCATAAATAAATAAAATCTTTAAAAAAAAAGCTGTTCGTAAATGAAAAAGATAGGTTACCAAAAATATGAATACTATGATCCTATTTTTGTTAAATTTTATATATACATATATAAGGTATATATGGATATATATTGGGTTACCTCTATTACTGGGATCCTTTATTTTCTTCTTGATACTCTATCTTGTTTTTCTTTTATAACAAGAAATAAGAAAGCTAAATATTAAAAAACAAACAAGAACCCGAATAACAGGGCATTTTCTCTTTTCTCCTTTCCTTCCCCCCCTCAAACATAAGAACCCCTCCCCATCATGGTAGCACACTCCCAGAGCCCATGCCCTCCCAGTCCTTTCAACTCCTTCTGCCCAAGAGAACACCAGATCAAGGCCCTTACCACAAATTCCCTGGGAGCACAGACAGTCAGAGGCAGGAGGATCAAGGTTCCCCAAACATGTCTATCACTTGATTCCACTGGACAAGGAAGAGTGTGTGGAAGGAATCAGGGATAACCCTCGCTCCCATCCCACAGAAGGTTTTAAGGTGAGGGAGGTTAAGGCATTGCGCTATCCCACCATTTCTCCCATGGTGATTACTTGGGAAAAGTTGGAATAGAGAGTGGAATGGAAGAGAGAGGGCTAATTTTTGGAAAGTTCAATGTTCCACGTTTCCTTGAGAAGAGGCACGTATAGCCTAAAAATTAATAAGTAAATCATACATTACTGGTCTGTTACCTGTCAGGACAGAGGCTCCAGTGGTGGTGAGACAGTCAGTGCTGTGTCTGTCTGGCTACTTTAATTATGATGTGCATGTCTTACTGAATGTCATCAGTACATGTCAATGACAGGGAGATGGTCCATTTTTTGTTCCTGCTATAACAGAGCAAGAGCTACTTGGGCAGTGTCTACGTTGGCTTCTGGAAAGGACAAAATTTCCTGCTCAGCTCTGTCTGCATTTCGGAGAAAAGAGGCTCAGCCACCAAGTGTTCCTGGGTGGTGGAGGAGAGAGGTACAGCCTCTGGGGCAGAATAATAGCCCAAGAGAAGCAAACCTGTTATTATTATGATTTCTTTGTAAGAGAACCTTTTAAATCGGGGAGCCTGAGCAGCACAAACAACGTGGCTCTGACTGGGTCTGATTTGAGAAATCTGCATCTTGCGATTTTTTCCCTATTACGACTTTCCTCATTCAACAGCCAATTGGAAACTACCCTTATTCTACAGATTTGAGGGCCCTGACAACGCACACATCCAACACATAAGCAAACGACACACGCACATACCTGCGCACTAATAATACACGCGCATCACACATTACACGCCGAGGACATGCCGAACACAAACACACCATACAGCTGGACAGACCCAAGTACACCAAGACACGAGACGGGAGGCTGTTCCATACCCACTCATCCCCTAAAATACATCCGTGGACCTAGGAGGAGAGAGGGAGGGTGAGGATGCGCGGTGCGCACACGGCCCTGCACTCAGACACGTGCACCAAGCAACACTCCGCGCCCATCTGCGTTCCCAGTTAAGTACGCACCTTGGACAGGCACCATCCCGAGGACCGACCTGCCCAAACGCCCTCCCGGGCGGACGGCATGTTACCGCCCGAGCGCGGCGGACCCAAAGCCCCAAATCTAAAGGAAAAGGCATCGCAGGCTAGTGAGCGAGGAGAAGAGAGGGAAGATGAGATGCGCTCTCGGGGTAAAGGGACTCGGGAGCTGGCGACAACGACAGTGGGAGTAGCGAGCGAGCCTGTCCCCTGCCCCTGTCCCGCAAGCCTTACTGATCCTTGCGCTGCGGCTGGTGGCTGTGCGGCGTCTCCCTGCCCAGAGCCGCGGCCTCACTGAGGTGGTGCCGGACGCCCCCGCCAAGGAGAGGGCTCCGGCTCAGGTGACCCCAGCCTCCCAGCCAGCAGTGACTGCCGGTCCCGCTCAGCGCATTCTGCAGAGCCCTCATAGAGCGCATCCCCCCAGCTCGTCTCCCGCTCGGCCCGAGCGCCCGCGGAGTCTGAGGGCTGGTTGGAGGGAGGGGCGGAGGAATCGTGAACGCCGCAAGGTGGGGGGAGCTGGGTGTTGGAGTGCGGAGCCTAGGATGTGGAGGGGAGGGGAGGGGAGGGGAGGGGAGGGGAGGGGCCCAGTGGGTGGGGTCCCGGAGCAGGGGGAGGGGCGGGTCCCTAAGTGTATCGGACCACTGCGAAATACACTCACGCCCCCCTAGACAGGGGATGGGCGAGGAGTGGATAAGAGAGAAAATGGGGGCGGGGGGACGTTTAGTGGGTGGTTAAAAAAGGGCGGTGCCCGAAGGTGGGATGGACAACGTCCAGGTCCAATCATCGGGGAAGCAAAGACCTTGGGGGCGGAGAAAAGAGGAGGCTACCCAATGAGAGCAAGGCGGTGGGCCGTCCGCGAAAGCCCTGTGAATTCCTTCGTCCCCGGGCACCTTGCGGCGGCCTTGCGTGCGGACGTTGAGGGCGGGAAAGCCGAGGGTTGGGGCTTTGCGAAGCCAGGCGAGCTCCCGGAGGACGCGGCGGCGTTAGAACGATGGCGCTCTCGGAGAGAGAGGGGAGGAGTACCTGTCTACACTTGGATAAGAGTGAGCCCTATTCAAGAGGCCGCCTAGTGACCTTCAGCATTCGAAGGCCAGACCCGAACACAGTAACCCGCCGCGTCGAGCGGCATGGAGGTCAAATGAACGCCTCGTCTCCGGCACGCGGCATTGGTGAGTGAGGAGTCAGATGTCCTGGCCGGAAAATAGCCCGACCAGAAACAGCCCCGGGCACTTCAGGGAGGGCCTAAGTTGGATGAAAAGGTCATCCTGATGGTTACTAGGTTGCCTGGGTTCTCATTTCAACTCTGACAGTGATTTGGCGACTATTTAGGACTTGCATGTTCTTGACTGGGCCCTTAACACATTTTATAAACCTTTAAGTGCTCCCAAGATTTTAGTTATTTTAATTGCTTGCCCCTGTATTCCTTACGGAAAAGAGGTGATCTAGAAAAGGAATTTTGAAAACTAAGGAAATTTATCATTTGCAACTAGAAAAACATTCATCTGTGGTTTCGCAGTGCTTAACACAGCATCTGTGTTTAATAGAAACTCTGTAAATATTAGCTACCATCTAGTGCTTATGGTGGATTTTATATGGTCTATCACTCCCACTTACCAGAGACTTCAGAGTAGTTACAGTTAGTCCCATTTGGAAGATGAGGAAACTAAGACTCAGAACTAGGACTTATTTGAATAAGGTAACCCAGTTGTAATTTAATATCAGAGATATCATTGTAATTTAATATCAGAGGAATTAGACTCAGGTAAGTCTGTGACTACAAGGCTTTCTTCATCATGAAGCTCTTCCCAAAATTAACCCATTGAATTGGATTATCCCAGGAAATGATCCTATCCCTAAAGGAAGCGTTTTATGTGAGAAACGTTATGGTAAGGTACTGGGAGTTGTCTAGAGGCTGTATCACAAACCCTTTTCTTAAAAAAAAAAAAAATTTTTTTAAGGGACCCCTGGGTGGCTCAGTTGGTTAAGCAACTGCCTTTGGCTGGGGTCATGATCCTAGGGTCCTGGTATCAAGCCCCATGTCAGGCTCTTTGCTCAGCAGGGAGCCTGCTTCTCCCTGGCCATCTGCCTGCTGCTCTGCCTGTTTGTGCTCTCTCTGTCAAATAAAATTTTAAAAAATTTGTAATTTCTCCATCTAATGTGGGGATTTACAACCCTGAGATCAAGGTTGCACACTCTACCTTCACTTTTCATTTAGGGATTAAAATGAGCATCAAGGGCATTTGGGAGTATAAATATCAAAACCATTCTCTGGTGAGTTTTGTAGAAAGGCAGTTCTCCTTTGCTTTGGTTAGGGATGGAGGGTTTTTTTGGGTTTGAAACCAGATAGAGTGACCTTTCTTTTGTTTGTTTTTCCCTCTGGCAGTCATACCATATCTGCCCTATCTCCTATTGGGACTCTCTCTAACTCAGGAACTCTAGCTTGCTCTCAGCTGCCTCCTGCGTGGCTTTGCCCATGACTTTAAGAATGTTCTGGTAGGGGCACCTGGGTGGCTCAGTTGGTTAAACATCTGCCTTCACTCAGGTCATGATCCCAGGGTCCTGGGATGGAGCCCAGTTCCAGCTTCCTGCTCAGCAGGGTGTCTGCTTCTCCCTCTCCCTTTGCCCCCCAACACTTGCTTGTGCTCCCACCCCCTCAATAAATATTTTTTTAAAAAAGAGAGTTCTGGTAGAATAAACTCAAGCCAGCATTAGTTTTTCCAAATATAATAAAGCTAATCTTATCCTTTTCTCACAGGAATGTAATTTCTCTGAAGCGTTTTAAGCTGTCAAGAAAGCGATACCATATGTTAGGGATTTCTGAACATTACCTAGAAGTTATTTGCTTCCTTTTATTTCCTTTCCCTGCTTTTATGAATTAACCTTAATTATAGTCAGTAATAAGGTCCTCAATCTTCTTCCCAGTTCTCTCTGACTAGAGGAACCTGTTGAGCAGTGAAGTAAATCTACCTGTAGAAAGGGAGGTTCTTAGCATAGAGAACTAGCTTCCAGCTGCCCTTTGACCTTCGGTGTGATTTTCTTCCACTACAGTATTGTTAAATTTACATGAGGATGGAGCATGAACTAGTGACTTGGGAGACCCACAGTATTGTGTAAAGTATAAAATATTCAAGATGAACAAGTTTGTCATTCCAGGTGGTTAAAGCTTGGCAGATCCTTTTTTTGTTCTTGATTTGAAAAAGACCCATCTAATTAAATCTGTGCTAAAGTATTAGCCAACTGCGACATGGCCAGCTAGAAATGAGGCTTTCCATAATGTGAAAGAAATCCTCTGTCATGTCTAATAGTAGGTTTTTAGGTCAGTCCCTGGTTCTGCCAGAGTTTTGTGGTGTATGGGGGAGGATTGGTCTTAATGATTTTGAACCTAAATCAGAAAAGCTAAATCCTCTGTGGAAACTTGGTTTGTGTTTGGGGAATGTGTTTGTTATGATTTAGAGATTCTCATTCGTTCTACTCTTTAGATTGTAGCTAGGCTATTAATTAGTGCAAATGAAAGATTTCACATAAACTTTTTTTCATAAATCTTTGTCCTGCTAATGTTATTATTGATGCACATGCCTTCCTGCTTTAGTTTTTCCATTTGCAAAAGATAATCTGGTTAAATATTATATATTTATATATATAACATATGTATGTATATATATTATATATATAAAATAATACTGGTTAAAATATAAGTCCTGGGGGCTCTAACATCATCTTCCATTCATTCAGTGAGTATTTATTCATTGGCCTATCGTGTGCTGGCCTGGAGCTAGGGAATCCAGACGTAAAGCAAAAACAAACAAAACCATTTTCTGACTATTGGAAGAAATGAGAAAACAGTGCTTGGGATACCTGTGTGGCTCAGTCCGTTGAGGGTCTGACTCTAGATTTTGGCTCAGGTCCTGATCTCAGGGTTGTGGGATCAAGCCCTGGGTCAGGCTCCAGGTCAGTGCAGAATCTGCTTGTCCTTTCCCTCTCTTTTCCTCCCCCCCAAATCACATGCTGGTTTGCTCTCTCTTGAATACATAAATAACTTGATGTTAAACCTTCATGGAGTAAATGAAATTTCATATAAATTCAGATGTATCTATGATCTATCCCAGTGTATGTTTCTAATTCCTGTTCAGTTTAATAATTACAAAACTAAATTTTATTAAGACTGAAAAAATATACACATGAGGATGTGAAAAAAAATCATAATATATCACCACACTGGGTCAAATTTACAATGCGTAATACATATTGTCTCTTTTGCCAAATAATCTCTCTGTAAATTGGTTTCTTTGATGGCCATAGAATAGATTATAGCAAGAGTGAATCATTATAATATGCTAAGAGAATGTAAATTTTGCCAAGGTCCCTAAAAGATTTTTAAAAACTCTTTTTTTTTTTTAAGATTTTATTTATTTGTCAGAGAGAAGGAGAGAGAGCATAAGCAAGGGGAGAGGCAGCCTCCCCCTGAGCAGGGAGCCCAGTGTGGGATCCATCCCAGGTTGGGATCATGACCTGAGCCAAAGGCAGATGCTTAACTGACTGAGCCACCCAGGCGTTCCTAAAAAACCTCTTAATAGACTAAAGCGAATTTGAAAGAATTTGAAACAGCAAAAAGAAAAAACCTTTAGTGGATGGTTGTGGTTGGTAACATTTTTTTTTTCTAAGATTATTTATTTATTTATTTGAAAGAGAGAGAGAAAGAGCAAGATAAGGAACAGAAACAGGAAGAGTGGGAGAGAGAGAAGCAGGGTTCCTGCAGAGCAGGGAGCCCGATGCCGGGCTTGATCCCAGGACCCCGGGTTCATGACCTGAGCTGGAGGCAGAGGCTTAACAACTGAGCCACCCAGGTGCCCCTGGTAACATTTTAATACTTGTTTTTTTAACCTAAAGAACATGAAAGATGTTTTCAGAATCTTGTGTTACCACACAGTAAACAAAACCATTCTCTTAAAAACTACGTAAAGTTACTTTTAACCACATTCATCTACTTAACACTCCATAAACTATAATTTCTCAAGATTTTATGTAATTTGAAAAATTTTACATTATACTATTTTGCCTCTCAGTTTGCTAAAGCTGCTATTATAACTCTCTTATTTTGGGAAATTTAGAGGAAACAATTTTAATTTATTTATTTTTTTGTTTTTCAGGTTTTTATTTATTTATTTATTTATTTAAAGATTTTATTTATTTATTTGACAGACAGAAATCACAAGTAGGCAGAGAGGCAGGCACAGAGAGAGGGTGAGTCAGGCTCCCCGCCGAGCAGAGAACCCGATGCGGGGCTTGATCCCAGGACCCTGGGATCATGATTTTCAGGTTTTTATTTAAATTCCAGTTAGTTAACATACAGTGTGTTACTAGTTTCAGGTGTAGAATTTAGTGACTCTTCACTTAACAACACCCCGTGCTCATCTCAACAAGTGTCCTCCTTACTATCACCTGTTTAACCCATCCCCCTGCCTACTT